CAGTGGTAGTGGTAGTGGTAGTGGTAGTGGTAGTGGTAGTGGTAGTGGTAGTGGTAGTGGTAGTGGTAGTGGCACTGGCAGTAGTAGTGGTAGTGGTAGTTGTAGTGTTAGTGGTAGTGGTAGTGGCACTGGCTGTAGTAGTGGTAGTGGTAGTGGTTGTTGTAGTGGTAGTGGTAGATGTAGTGGTAGTGGTAGTGGCAGTGGTAGCGGTAGTGGTAGTGGTAGAGGTAGTGGTAGTGGCAGTGGCAGTGGAAGTGGTAGTGGTAGTGGTAGTAGTAGTGGTAGTGGTAGTGATAGTAGTAGTGGTAGTGTTAGTGGGAATTGTACTTGTATTGGTAGTGGTAGTAGTGGAAATAGAAGTGGTAGTGGTGGTGATAGTAGTAGTAGTAGTAGTAGTAGTAGTAGTAGTAGTGGTAGAGTAGTAGTAGTAGTAGTAGTAGTAGTAGTAGTAGTAGTAGTAGTAGTAGTAGTAGTAGTAGTAGTAGTGATAGTGGTAGTGGTGCAGTATCGATTGGTTGCAGTGGATTCTGTACCTCAAAATAGCAAACGATGATTGGTTGAGCTCATTTGACGTGGAATGTGAGATGTTAATTCTTATCTACATAATCATCTAACACCAGGTTTCCTACAAAAATTTTATACGTGATAGTGTGGGAGAACATTCTAACCAAGTCTTTATAGGCATTCTTGCTTTTCGAACTCTAGTCTTTATCTCGTCTAACCTGTGCGCTTAATTTATTTAAATATCTTGTTTTTCACAAATCTGCTGCGTTCGCCGGACTTTTCTCTCTATCGCTGTCATTGCTACTTCTTCTTTCGTCAGATACTGTTTTCTGCAATTAAGAAGGCAGGTACGAAAGCTTACTTCTGTCTCTAGTATAGTGCACTATGTCATATACCTGTCATATTTTGCCGGCTTGCTTCTCTCACTAACCCGCCGCGGTCTATCATTTCGCATGCTTCGCTCATTCTTGGTCATTCCAACACTACCATTACCCTCGTCCTAACATTCTATGACAACCATCTCCTACACGCTTTGCCAGATTGTGACCTGAGCTTCGTGTTTACCTAATCCTTCCGCACTGTAGTCACGTGACGCTGTTGTAGTTTGGTGACGTAATTCTGTATGATGATGACGCATTCTGACCGTTGTTGACGTATTGTTGTAAAGCGATTGCAAGCATTGTTATAGCTTCGTGACGCACTTTTGCAAAAAGATGACGTATTGTTATATAGTTCTATGACGTAATGTTGCAAGACGATTACGTATTGTTATATAGTTCTATGACGTAATGTTGCAAGACGATTACGTATTGTTATATAGTTCTATGACGTAATGTTACAGGATGATAACGTATTATTAGAGTTTAATGACGTAATAACGTCGGATGATGACGTATCGTTATAGGTTGATGACGCAATATTGCAGGAGGATGACGTATTATTAGAGTTTAATGACGTAATAATGTCGGATGATGACGTATCGTTATAGGTTGATGACGCAATATTGCAGGAGGATGACGTATTATTAGAGTTTAATGACGTAATAATGTCGAATGATGACGTATCGTATAGCTTGATGACGTAATGTTGCAGGAGGATGACGTCGCCACGATCGTCCGCGACAACAAGACTAACGACGCGCTCTCCAAGAGCGTCGCCGACAACCCTGTCTTTTCATACAACGACGCCGACGTCTGCCCAGAGATGGCGCTGCGGCAGCGCGAGAAGGAGGCCGAAAGCAAACATTCGCATCGCAGCGAAAGTAACGGGGCTGCGCCGAAAGATGGCGCTGAATGCAACGTGACGTACACCACCGCTCTGTAGTCATGTACGCGCGGTGTGCGTGCGTGCATGTGTGTGTTCGCTGTACACCTGCACAGCTCGGTAAATAGCGATTCGTTTGATTAGGATTTCGTGTGCGTCGTGTGAACGGCAAGCATACGTAGCCAGGGGGGCGGGCCACAGATATATCATACTTGTTGTGTACTATGCGCGGGTCGGCGAACAGTTTTATATGGGCAGAACGATGGCTTTAGTGCTAGGATTACGTGTGTGTTCGGGTCGGTGTAAGGGTTGTGAGTTAGTATATACCAGGACCAGAGAAAATTAGTTATGATATTAGGGTTGGGATTAATGTTAGTATTATCGGTGGGTTAGCGAGATATAGAGGGGGGGTAACCATACATATAGCCAGTATAGCAACCACACACATAGTCACGTCTGGTGGGAATCGTAGCAGCTGCACTAGGTGGTTAGATCGAGCAAAGTCTTAAAACAGAAGATGTGCAACGGTAGAATACAGCCGAGAATGTGTGTTATGAGAGGAAACGGACCCTATGCGTTCTAAATAGGGCCCTATATATTATAATTATGTTGTTCTATGTAGGTTTCTATGCTTTGTAAATTTATGCAACACTAAACCCGCCCGATGAGCCACATGTATATGCACAAACTATAAAAGAAAAATATATATTGCTGTTTGCGAATAAACCTATAT